CTCTTTTGCCATTGCTAGAAGATCATCCCCCTCTTTTCTTTCCAAATTTGAAAAATACATATATCATTTATTTAGGTTATTTTCTAATGTGTTTTATAAATTAAACAAAAATGATGTAGAAAATGTTGGTAAATACCAAAACTTGAATGAAAGTAGTTTTTTATATTTATTAACTGAAACTAAATACTTAACAGCTAAGCAAACGACTGACCACGTTCTCCCTGAAACTCTAAAATCCCCCCTCCCTCGCCTGATCTATCAGAAACAATGAATGCACTTTAGTGCTTTTGATATTATTGGAAACATTAGAAGAAATCCCCTTTTTGTATTTGTTGCATAATTTTAGACAGCTTGAACTCTCTGGAAATATTTATTTCATAGGACCATCTTGATAAGAGAAAACAGTTGAATCAGAAAGAGAGAAATCTTGCAAATAAGATTGTTGAGTCACGTTAAAAATATGTTTTGAAAGAGATAAAAGTTTTGAATTTCACTTTGTAGAAAAGTTTGGGTGAAAATTAATTTTAAAGAAATCTAACTTCTTGCTGAAACACAATTTGTTCAAAATTTGATATCATGGCCAATAGTCAATAGATGTTTTCACTCTGCAGTATAACACAAACAATTCTGTTCCAGATGATATCACGTCATATGCGTCTTCTGTATAAAGATTACATATATGCATCCTGAACCATAAGATTTAATTTTTGCTAGCAGCATGCACATGGTATTACTGCAGATTTTCTCCAAAAATTTTTAACAGATGAGTACATATTTTAAATGGAAACTGATTGTTGTTCTCAATGTATAGTAATGTATAATTTCTATCCAGCTGATGACTTTTATGCATGGTTCTAATCAGATTGTGACACAACACACTTGCTCCTAAGAGATGTGAGAGTGAAACTCAAATGATGATTATTAGTCTAAGTTTTGTAGGTATGGTGACTGTATTATAATATATTCTTCTGTTTGGTCATTATTATTCCTTTAACCATATATAACCAGTTAAAAATAATATTACCTTTAAAACATTCGAAGTAAAGAGTGCAGAAGAAAGAACTCCCTAATTTGAGAAGCTAATAAAATCCAAACCAAATGAGATACGAAAAAAAAAAAAAAATGCTTTGGAAGTACATGTAATGCTATTAAACATTAATATGTATTCTTTTAACAAAATATCACTGAAGTGGTGGTCTCCATTGTTGATGTTCTGATTAAGCCTTTCTCGATAGTTGTCCAAGATTTTGAGAGCTATTTTGGGCATAATGGCAGCAGCAACCTTTTGTATAATTTTCTTCAGGCAATGGTCCAACGTCCAATGGTAATGTTTTTTAAGGGGTTGAGAAGTGTTTTGTTGACCAAGCACAAAGTGGATATGAAAGGCATGCTATGTTGCTATCAGAAATCCACCATTATGAATAAACTGCTATTCAATAAAAGGGCAATATTCTGCTGACCAAGTTACGGTATACTCTAAAATGACACATAAATTGCTATTCGAAGAAATGCTCCCTGTCACTGTGCCTCCTCTAAAATCGTAATTATACTCCTCTGAAATTGGGAAATTCTTTCTGCCACACACTGTAGTTCCTATTGTTTGTTTGGAAAAATGACCATTGCCTCTTAGCTTGAATAAAGGGTGCTGCTGTATGGGAAAAAGAAATATGAGGGCGGTCTGAAAAGTTTCCGACCTCAATATATAGATGGAAACTCAAATCAACCGAAGTTGGGGGAAGACTTGTTTGAGTATCACTTGATAACTACCAATCAAAATTTGATCTATTTTGAATGCGAATGTTTTGTCTGACAATTACTTTTGTAAGATAATTTGATTTTTTTTTTTGCAAAAATCGGAAAAACAATCGAGTATTATGCTGCCATTAGATACCTGTTTTTGAAATGTTACTCTACCTAGGTTGAGTTAGGCATATTACCTGCTCTTAAGAAGAGTTGAACACAGTGTACACGGCCTCTGCACCATCATTTACTACTATGAAATTTTGGGCGTACCAGTTTGAATGACGATGAACGTTCAGGACGGCCAAAAACTGTAACCACTGATGAAAACATAGCTAAAATCCACCAAATGGTGCTGAAGACCATCGAATCAAGTTTAAAGAGATAGCAGAGGCTATTAGTATGTCCAAAGAACATGTTTGCCACATATTGAACCAAGATTTAGATTTGCGCAAGCTGGCTGCACATTGGGTGCCACTTTTGCTCACTTTGGACGAAAACTTGTCCGAATGAACATTTGCACCGTTTTGGTGGAGCAATGAAATGATGTTTTTTTTACTATTATTCACTGTGAATGAAACCTGCATCCATTATTGCAGCCCAGAAAAAAAAAAAACACATTCAAAACAGTGGATTGCAAAGGGAAAATCAGCTCCGAAAATGGCAAAAACTGTTCCTTCTGCTGGTAAAGTGATGGCAATAGTTTTCTGGGACAGCCATGGGATTGGCTCAATAGATTATCTTGAAAAGAAAAACTATTACCAGAGCATACAATGCAGCGATACTTTCCAAGTTGAAAGCAGAAATTACAGTAAAACGGCCACATTTGCAAAAGAAAAATTTTTTTTTTCCGCCAAGAGGGTGCTCCATCTCACACCTCAGTGGTTGTAATAACTAAAATCCATGAATTACGATTTGAACTGCTTGACCACCCGCCCTCTTCGCCTGACCTGGCACCAAGCGACTTTTTTTTGTTCCCTAAGCTAAAAGAAACACTTGGAGGGCAAAGGCTTTTGTCAAATGAGGAGACATTACAGAGAAAGATGCCACATATTATGTGGGCACGTTAAAGGGATGGGACAATTGCTGGAAGAAATGTATAGACTTACAAGGAGACTATGTCAAAAAATAAAGGTATTTTGGAGAAAACATATCTGTTTCCCTTTATTAGGCTGGAAACTTTTCAGACAGCTTACGTAGCTCTATATAGAAGATGTAACATATGTTAAACAAATAATACCATCTACCATTATGTGTTTCCTATAATTACATACATATCATGGCAATCACATGGTCGTGTTCAGAACTTATATTGATTAGAGTATTAGTTAGAAAATACGTTTTAATGTTGGAGAGAAACCTTATTATAGGTAGATGTTTTATAATTAAAACAACATAATTGTTAGCTTCTTGCAAGGTGAAAACTCTCTAGTGTCTAATTGGATAGAAAATTACAGGTGCCTATCAGAATAATTTAACTTTGGCATAAGATAATTTGTGAGGTTAAAATTACCATTGTCTGTAAAAGCTGGTTTCAATAAATGGGTTCTTCTATGCAAAGTTGATTGATGTATCTAATCAAAGCTGCTTCCATCTTGTATCACCTTCTATTGCCACAGGCAAATGTAAAAAGATTTTGGCATTTTAGTGCATATAATATAAAAAATTCTCACTTTTTATAGAGGATTGAGAAGCTGAGTTTTTAGCAATACAGTAGAAGTCCAGAAATCCGCAAAGCTTGGGACCAGAGGTTGTGCGGATTTTAGGATTTTGCGGATTTCGGGACAGAAAAGGTAAATTATAATATTCAGGCTAAAAGTGCAAAATAAATAGGGCGTATTAGATACATTTAATTAAATTATTATATACATTATTACAATAATTTATTATATGCATTAAATTATTATTACATATATAAATTGATTATATATAGGCTCCTCTATTTTTAAATCAGCATAAATCTGCTTCCCCTTTTCTCTTAGGAGCAGTCCTGAAATTGATACCCCATCACTCGGAACCACTCGTACGAGACAACATCGAGGTTTGTCGATTTCGCCTCGGGTAAAGATTTCTGGTTTCAGATTCCAGTGTTAGAATCACTGTTGCTGTAAAATTTTAACAGGTTTTCTTTATTTTTCCATATATCATACACGGTCCATGTCGCAATTCCATATGATTCTGCTATAAACCAAGGAGTAGCACCTGCCTTTCATCTTTTGCAGAATTTCCACTTTTTGTATTACTGTCAATGCAACATGATTGCGTTTTCCAGTGTTGCAAGCAGTAAAATCTTGAGTGCATTTCTTATCTATCTGTCATTATATTAAAAAGCGCTGAAAATAAAAAATTATTCTTAATTTATCCACAAAATATCGGGATTAAAAAAAGGGCAGCACTAAACAATCTCGTGAAATAACAAAGCTCAGAACATACAACAACGTGAATCGTGTACTTGAAGGAAGAGTTAAGTGAATCATCTGCTTTTTTACCTCTATGCAGACTGGAGGGAAAAAAACTTTTATTATAATGTCAATAATTTGGTATTTCCATTATGACTCATTTTATTCGGTAATTATGATGTCATTATCCGGTAAGTATTTTTTCTTCAATATTTCGTACTCCATGTTGTGGTTTCTGAAATTATAAACTGAATGTTTATATTTTGAGAGGCAACATGGATTTCAGGAGTTGGCAGATTTCAGGTCGGCGGATTTTCGGTATTTGACTGTATTACGATTGTGGAAGATCAAAAGGAAGTCCTGTGCAAGTCATATTTAGTATTGTATTGTAGTATATATGTATTGTAGTACCAGTGGTTGACAGAAGATGTCCCTTTGAAGTTAATCTTATGAAGTAATTGAAATTGTTCATGAAGCAATGCAGTCACAATGCTTTGTGAATACATGTAAAATGATGGTGTTGTGGTTTGTAAATTGTTCTGTAGACATGATATAGGCTCTTTTATATTGCTAACAAATCACTGAGAATTATTTGAGCATGTTACTGAATTAAAAACTTTTAATAATGCACATCTGTTTAGTGGATGTTATGTTTTCTCCTTTGTTGTCAACAGCAATGTCATTGATAACATTGTTGCTGACTGCAAATGGGAAAACATATTCAAGTTCCTACCATAGCCTTGTCTTTACTAAATAGATTAGTTTTGAATAGATCAATTTATGAAACCCATATCGCACCTCATCTGTACTGTAATTTAGTCTAAAGGGCGGAAACTACATTATTTAGAGCAATTTTGCAATTCGAAATATAACTGAATGTGTGACTTTATAGTATATTTAATTAGTGATATTATTTTTCAGTGTTATTTGAGTTATTTGAACTCTCTGAGAGTTAAAGAGTATCGTGGTGCTCGAGATAATTTATATCATCATTTTGATCGCAATACAACTCTTCCTCAAGAATGCAAAGCATCTGCTGCTTCTGAGGATCTTGCTCGGAGTTCACGTTATGCTGCTTTGAATCTGGCAATAGTACATGCTCTATTTGAACATAAGTAAGATTAATTTTTTTATTATAATGATATAATTAATAATTCAGTTAATAAATTTTATTTACTGATTTTAATTTTTTTATTTTATTTACTCTAGCAAATATGTGTAAAATTTGAATAATGTAATAAATATGCATATATTTATAAGAGATGTGTAGTATATATAGAATTAATAAAATTTAGATGCATTATTTTGTGTATGCTTTTTACTTGTTGATTGCATATCAGATATAGCTAAAATATCTGTCATGTTAAAAATAAGCAGTTTTGATATTTGAAAAAGTAAAGTTTTTGATTGTCTGTAATAAGTTTTAATATTTGCATTTTTATTGTAGTGAAAATTAAAATATGTAGAGTATTTCACAAAGTGTTCATAACCATTTATGATTTTATACATTGAAAACTCAGTTGCATAGTCAACCGAATTTTGACTTACGTGTGCTGTAAGTCATATCTAATAATCAAAATCATAAAAGTTGCTTCATAATATCATTAAACTAAAATCTTTATTGATTATCTTTTATAATTGGATATCTACTCCTAGTATACACATGTCACTCCTAGCATATTTAAAATAAAGAAAAATAGCTGTTGTATCTGAATATGGAGTTGCCTTTAGAGCATTTATATTTTAAACTGTTTTATGAACTAACATATGAAATAAAAATAGCAAATGAGAAAGCATTTTTTAAACTGAAAAATGAAATCTATAAATGGTGCAATGCCAGTATGAAAATATTTCTGATTAATGCTACCGTCTAATGAGTAAAAAAAAAAGGTTTTGTATCATATATTTAGAAGTGATTCTGAAGTATCACATATTTAGACTATGTGTCCATGAAAATGTATGCATATATGCCATTCTGCAGAAGGGATGTTAACTGAAATATTGATTTCTGTAAATGAAAATTCACTGTAGCTGTAATGAATAAAAAGCATACAATGATAATTGCATAGCTGAATTTTTGTGCTAGAAATGCTACATTAAAAAAAAAAAAAAAATGTTTGGTAAATTTTAAAGTTTAAATGTTAAAGTACTGTGCTAGATTCATTGAATGATGGCAAAGCAACTTGAGTTGTCTGCCTAAAATAAATCATGCCTTCATGGAAAACATTCTAAGGGAAACTGGTTCACCTATAAATATAGGAAAAACCATGAAAATGGTCATGTGACAAGCCCATTTGCTGAGATGTTAATTTGAGTCAAACAACAAGTATTGAGAGTTTTTATATGCACTGAGCTGCATTGATTGGTATTAAAACTTTTTAAATAAATTCTTGAGGGGAAAATTTAAATAAATAAGAGCATAAATAAAACATTATATTTAATGCACATAATAATAGAAATAAATTTTAAAACACAAATATAGATTAAATTGGAACACAGAGCTAAGAAAGTTATAAACAGGGTGGAAAAAGAGTATGAGATTCAAACTCACAACCCCAAAAGTTAACCTTCGCTACCCTCAGCTTTACCACTATGCTATCCCGACACTGATGTAATTAGCAATTTTAGCTTATATACATCATCAAGTAAATGAATTTATAAAACTAAATTTTTTGGTTCTATTTCAGTGTGCTGTCATCTAAAAAATTCACCAGAGTTTGTTCTTCAGCTTCTAGGACATTTCTTACGAAAAACATTAATTTTTAAAGTGGCATTCCTATTGCAGTTAAACGGTCTGCTAAAAATATATTCCATGTGCATACAAATATATGTTAGCCAAAAAGGTATATTTATAAATACAGAAATACAAATTTAACATGCTCTTTAATGCAGTGGAATATTTAAAAGGCTATCAAATTTAATTTATAATTAACATTTTTAGTTTTTATCTGTTTAAAAAAATAACAAATCTTTTAATACCATATCTGATTTACTGTAGCAGTTTGAAATAGTCAGACATTCATTTTTATTAAAGGGAAATGTGTATGCAGAACTAGGAAATAATAGTCAGGACAAAATTTGCTATTTCATGGACTTGGAATTATATTTATTGCACCTGATTTTCTTGACTGTAATCACTGCTCTCTGCGAACTAGTGTTGTAGTTCCAGTTATCTTACTTTTCTTATGTTTTTTTTACCTAAATTCAGCTGTTTTTTTTTTTTTTTTTTTTTTTCAGTACGCAGATTTTTTGCTATAATGTTAATTCAGAAATAAGTATTTTATAGCAAAACATTCTTTCCCTAAGCCAGCGTTCATCGCTACTTTTGCCATTAGTTTTTGGTGACAACACCTGATTGCTCCTTTTTTACCATGTGCATACCTGCCAACTTTTACGAATTTTTCATAATTTTTACGAAAATGCGTTTGTCTTTACGATTTTACGATCGTAATCCATGTTTTACGAATTTTTTTTTCCTTTTTCAAGTGTTTTTAGTGATTTTTGTCGGAAATTTTAGAATTTTTTCGCTAATTCAGTGATTTTTGCCATCGCATCGTGTTTTACCGCCAGCTACCGACTACTTCGAACTCCAGTGACCTGCGGTTTCTCCCAACTCGCCGCTTAACCAGCCAATCCAATGCATGCGCTGAACTTGTTTCTCCCACTCTTTTCTTTATGGGTGCCAGATTATTTTTTTTCGCGTTTCGCTTCAGCAGCAAGGGAATTACTCAGCGAACGTGGATTGTCGCATTTTGTTTTTTTTTTTTTTTTTTTTTTTTTTTTTTTTTTCATGTGCTAACGAATTTTCTTATATGTCGTTGTTACGAATGAGTTAAAAAAAACGTATTCTCAATATCAGCCGAATTTCCAACAATTAAAGAATCCTTCAAAGGAAATAACTATGCATTTTGCAACGTGTGCGTGTGTAACTTCATAATAAGTCACGGTGGAAGAAGCGACATTGTGAAGCATGTTAAGTCTAAAAAGCATGAAGTTAATGCTTCGGCTTCGACAACGTCAAAGAAAGTGGATGATTTTTTTTCAAATTCGGCTACGAATTTGGATGCCGAGGTCATTTTGGCAGAGTGTTTGTTTAATGCATTCCTCATCGAACACAACGTGCCGCTAAGCGCTGCCGATCATGCCGGTCAACTTTTCAGACGGATGTTTCCCGACTCCAAGATTGCTCAGAAATATGCTTGTGCTCGCACGAAAACATCTTCTACTGTGAACGAAATTGCTTGCGATGCACAAAGTAAAACGATAGCTGCACTCCAGAATTCAGCATTTTCGGTGTCAATCGATGGCAGCAACGACAGCGATTGGAAGCTTTACCCCTCGTTGTCACATAATTCTGTGATGTTTCTAATGAATGAAAACTCATCTTTTGCATCTTCCATTGTTAAATAGAGACGCTACGGGGGAAAATATTGCCTCCTTGGTAATTAATGAGTTGAAACACTTAACATCCAATATCAAACTGCATTTCATTTGGTGCAGATAATGCTCATGTCATAGTGGGCGACAGAAAGGGTGTAGCCTCTTTCCTCAAAAAAGAACAAAATGAATTAATTGTTAATGGATGCTCATGCCACTTAATTAATTTGGCAGCAGAAAAAGCTGCAGCTGCTTTACCATTAAATATTGACCAGCTTCTGATTGATGTGTTTTTCTATCTGGAAAAAAGTGTGAATAGGAAGGAAAACCTAAAGAATTTCCAAGAACTGTGCTCTGGTGAAATGAGAAAAATTCTGAAACACGTATGCACGAGATGGTTATCCTTAGGCAGAGCGCTAGGAAGGTTTATTGAACAGTGGGATGCATTGCTAAATATTTCCACGATGAGACCAAACGAAACCACAGATCCATCAAATTTGTCAGTATATAAGATTCCGAAACCACTTTGCTTCTAATCAAATGCTTTAAAAGGGAAAGCCACACCAGAATCAAACCCTTTAAAAAGAAATGCTTAGAAGACTCCTCAAAGGTCACTTTGTTAAAGAAGTTGAAGGGAAGAAGAAACAGTCTTCTATTAGCCGAGAGGAAAGGATTTTCTATGTTCTTTCTTCGGATTTGAACAAAGCATATTGCAGATTTGTGTTAAGTACCATTAAGATTTTTGAAAGTTTAAATACCCTTCTACAATCAGCTTCGCCAAAATCTGCCCTGTGTATCCAAATTCTTAATGATCTTTTGAAAGAACTTTTAACTAAGTTTGTAAAGCCGTCCGTTGTGAAAAACATGTGTTGTTTTATATTGCCTATAATAGTTTGGCAAATCAAACGGATGGCAATGATCTTATAATTGGAAATCAAACCAGGGACTTGTTAATTCTTTGAAAATCATGAGAAAAAAGAATTTTTTTAATGTGTTAGAAAGTACTTTTCCTCACCTATGATTACATGTAAGGAAGTTTCCTTTGCAAAATGAAGTTCTTTTAAATGCTGAAGTGGCAATTTGAAACAAATTGAAAATTCATCTTTTGAAAAGATTTTTTTTTTATTGATAAATTTCCATTTTTGTTAACAATTAAGAAAATGAATGCCATAATGATGCTTTGATGAACTACAGAACCATTTTCCTGCTCACAGTTTGAAGACTTTGCCATTTCTGAGAAATAGACTTGATGTCCTGTTGGTACCTTAAAAAAATAAAAAGAGCTGATGAACACCAAATACGATAGACCTAGCAGATTTTATGTGCTATTCTTGTATTCCACACAGTAATGCTGAGTGCGAGAGAGTCTTCATGTTGGAAGAAAACAAAACTATGTTTCGTTCTTCAATTCACCAAAACTCTAGAAAACTTTTAATTGCTAAATGTTAAGAGAAACTATTGTTCTGACAGGAAATTTTCCAAGAATTTTTGGCTAAAGCCAAAAATGCACTCAAAATTCATTGCAATAATTTTGTAACATTAAGTTCTTGTTTTATGTTCCTAATAAATTTTTTAGTTACTACTTAATGAGATTTACTAATGTAAGTACAATTTTTTTTTCTATTTGTATAAATTTATTTTTTTAATATCAAAGCATGATATTATTCTTCATGTTCTTCTGGAGAAATCTTCTGATTTGGGGAGAATCTTCTGAATTTTTATCTTTAGAGGTTGGCAG